TTATATATATATATATATATATATATATATATATATATATATATATATATATATATATAAAAATGTTCAAATAATTCAGTACTCATGGGATTAACTTTGTTTATATCTTTCTCTCTTTCCATCCATCAATCTATCTATCAGTATCACTATTTAGTAATAGCTTATCGATGTAAGGCATCAATGAAGTATAAACATGCAACGTGACAATAGGAAGTTAAGACCGGATTTCCTTGGTGTTGAGAGAAGGTGCTACCAGATCACGCGTAATGGTTACCAGACGCACGTCCTTTCGAGTTGAGGATCGATAATTCGCTTGACGTTTCGAGAGTTTCGCTAGATGCTTCTCAAGAATCGTATTCATTGGTCGAGTAGACATGATTCAGACCTTTATTGAGACAATAAAACCCGTATTATGGGAACGTCCTGTGATTCTAACTGTAATAAAGGGGAAAACGTGAGAGGATAATATTTCTTATCGATAAAATAACAACATTTTTTTTTTAATTTTTATTTAAATATAATTCATACAAATTAAGATACTTTTAATATTGTAACAAGTTTGTTTTGATAAAGATTAAAATATTTGGATTTTATCAAATAATTTTTCTCTTCTTTTCTTTATTTTTTTTTTTCTTTTCTTTTCCTTGTTTATATCGCTAATGGATTTTCAAATGCATCTCTCTCTCTCTCTCTCTCTCTTTTTTTTTCTCTTTGTTCTTTCTAAGAGAAAAGGAAAGCACACACATACACAAACACACACGAGTGTTTATAATAGAGATTCGTATAACGTAAAATAAAACTTTATTACGAACTTTAGTATCAGAGATAAGAAGTTAAGAAAATATTGTTTATGATAACGCAAATATTTGACATTATTATTTATTTTCTCATTCTACTTATGACTGTTAAAAAAAAAAAGCATTTTAATGGAATTTCTTATTTCTTGTTTTTCTTTTTTTTTTTTCTCTAAACGCAGTTTGCAGTAAACATCAACGCAAAGAACCACGTACGGACAACGTAAATACCGAAGCAAGGGGAAATAAAAGGAACGGCTGATTTCCGCAGGGCATATCTGTGACATTATTCACTTTAGCTATAACGAGATAAGGAATATCAGAAGAAGAAAAAAAAAAAAAAAGAACGTATATAACTTTTTCTTTTGAGCCTTACCAATTTTACCAATTTTTAATTCAACAAACTACAACAACGTAGATAGACGTATTTCGATTCAAAGTTAAAAACAAGAATAAAATATCTTACATTTTATTTTTCTATTACGAGTATCCTCGTACTCGTATATGTGAGATATTACATCTGAATAATATTTTACAACAAGTGGAAGAGAAATAGAAACAGAAAGAATATTTATAGAAACGATATTTTCCATATGTGCTGCAGCAACTACTATTATAACATATGTGAGACAGTTGAAAACTAAAAAGAAAGGAGAAAGATTAAAGTACTTACTGAAAGTAGAAAAAAAGAAAGAACAAAAAAAAAAGAGATACAATTTTTAAAAATACAAAAATAATTGTACAAAAAAAAATACAATTTTACATTAACAAAACTATTCTCGCTTTGCAATCAGCCTGTAATTAAGATCGTGTATTAAATTATCTCTGATCGATTAAATCCTGATAAATTCAATTTAAGTGAAGTTGAAATTAAGTCAAAATAACAAGTGAGAGAAAAAAAGAAATAATAATAATAATAATAATAATAATAATAAAACATGGCTAGCTGGCTGTCGTCGAACAGCGACGACGAATCTATGGACCGTAATTACGTGCGAAATGCTTTGAAGTACATTACGAACTTCAAGGAGGATTCCAACAACGAGAAAGAATTGAAGTGCCTCGCACGACAGCATCAAGAGCTTTTGTTGGAACAACGATACCAACGTCAAGCCATTAATAATGATGGTGTTGAAGAAGGAATAGTCGCGGAGGACCGAGATGGCTGCGAAATTAATTGGGACTCTTTACTTTGTTGGCCTTACACCTCACCGGGAACTCTTGCCGTATTACCTTGCTTTGAAGAACTTAATGGCATACGATACGACAATACTCGTGAGTATCACCAAAGTCTTTTTCTCATTTCTTCTTCTTCTTCTTCTTCTTCTTCTTTTTAATACTTTCTTTTTAACTTTTCTTTTGTTCACTCGCAATCCTTTCTTGAGAAAGAGAAAAAGGAAGTCTCATATAACGATAGTAAAAGAAGAATTTTCCTTGTTGTTCATTAACCCTTTTCGCTACTACGGAACACTATAGTGGCCCTTTATAAGATACCACTGAAATACTACGGACCATTATAGTGGCCCTTTATAAGATGCCACTGAGATACTACGGATCACTATACTTGTCCTCCATAAGATACCCTTTCGCTACTACGGATCACTATAATGGCCCTCCATAAGATACCACTGAGATACTACGGATCACTATAGTGGCCCTCCATAAGATACCCTTTCGCTACTACGGATCACTATAATGGCCCACCATAAGATACCACTGAGATACTACGGATCACTATACTTGTCCTCCATAAGATACCCTTTCGCTACTACGGATCACTATAATGGCCCTTTATAAGATACCACTGAAATACTACGGATCACTATACTGAGATATACGGATCAGATTCGTATTTCTATAATTCAAGAATTTTCAGATAAAGAATAAATTTCATTTGCTTTAGTATTTTTTAACCTTTGCTTACCACCCTTCTTGGAGTAACACGCTTACCACACCCGGGTCCTTTGAACCCGGACGAGAAAAATCGTTATAAAAATGAAACCATTGCATAAATTTACTTCAACATTTTTTTGGAAACTTCTTTAATACTTACTTAAAAAGACTATATAGGTTGTATAGCTTTAAATTAAATGTAAATATGTTTAAAAAATTACCAAAGTTGAGTACAATTGAGAAAAATGACTCAAGTAAAGGTTAATAAAGGAGGTCAGATAGATTAGAAGAGTTAGATTTAAAAAAAAAAAGCATCAGGTATATTTTTAATAGTCATTTATTATTAGATTACGTTATCATGATGTAATATTACTAAGTAAGTAAGAGGAAGTCGTTTTAACGGAACTTGTAATCCATCAGGAATTTCTTTCGAGTGTACTACGTTAACTCGAATGAAATTTTTAAACCAACTCTCTCTCTCTCTCTCTCTCTCTCTCTCTCGGGAGAATGACTCAAAAAATAATACATTTTAACGTAATTCTGGTTGCTTTTCCTTTTACCTTTATTTAAAGATGTAGGAATTAGTTGTTTTTTTTCTTCTTCTTCTTCTTCTTCTTTTTTTTTTCTTTTTATAAATAAATATCTAAGTCACAACGTTATATTAACTTTCACTTTAATTAATTACGCTGCGAAATATAATATCTTCTAGAAGTATGTTCTCCTCATTTATAGAAGTACATCATCATTGATGTATCATACAAACTTATACAAACATATACAAAAATACATATAGATATATATATATATATATATATATATATATATTAAAAAAGAGTATCATTATGTAATTTATTCTTTTACAACGAATCATATCGAACATCATCCCATCATATTTTCAAACGAAGCTTCGAACATTATATTAAATTACGAGATAATGGATATTAAATTGGTAGGCCCTTTAAAGAGTAAAGTGACCTATAGGCACCGTGCGTTATTACAGCGCCATGGTAGCGCCATGGTATCTATGGAACTAAAAGACGCTGCTGCTGAGGTTTTTAATATCTAAACGTATAAGGCTTTGCGATAACAATTCATTTTTGTTATTAAAAACATTTTTTTCTTTTTGCATGTCAAACCACGTGACAATAAAATTTCAATCTTGTGCAATGATGATGCAAAAATTACCGCTAAAATGTAAGTATAATTAATAATTGAAAAACAGTATGAAAGCTGTAGCGTTTATTGTAGTAAATAAAAAGTTAAAAAATTATAGCCGCAGTAGATCAAACTTTAAATAATATTGGCAAGCAGATAAAGTACGATGTGACATTGTTATAAAAAAAAAGAAATAAATATATATGTAGGAGAGTTTTAAGTGTCGCAGATGTAGACGAAAATTATTTAGTATTCAGTTCTTTTCTTTAGATTTTATTTTCTAAAAAAGGAAAACTCTATTATACATTTTTATAAAAATAATCATAAAATTAATTGTCACACGTATGTTTTGTGAACAGCAAAATAAAATAACACCGTCTTTTATTGCCAAAGTTATCCACTACGTGCGCTAGTGTCCATTTCGGCTTTCCCTACCATAACTTCGCACGGTGCCTATACTCAAATTTTAGAAAAGTTACAAGGAAAATCTTTCAATATGAAATATCCAATAGCATTGAATCAAATTATTTTCTGACCAATGAAATTACAATTAAATTCTGGAATTTCTTGAAATTCTTCAAACGTCTTCTTCTATTCTCGATAAGCATTTTATTGCAATACTATTGTAATGAAAAAATATCTGTAGAATATCTTTTGTTTATAAAATATAGAATATAAAAAAAAAATAACTTCAAAGAGATTTACTATAAAAAAAAAAAGTGACGGTAGTATTATATAGTCAAAACGAACATAATAATCGAGAGAAGGTAAAATAAATGAAAATTCAAATAAGTCTATGGATTTTCACTGATGAAAATGAAAAGTTTTTTTTTTTTTAATTGAAAACTTTTCTGTTCTATGGAATGTATTATACAAAAGTAAAATTTAATTACTAAAGCATTCACCTATATATATATATATATATATATATATATATACACATTTTACGTCTTCGGTTGATTTACATATTTTTTGTTTTGTTTTTTACATTCCATTTTTTTCTTCCTTTCTTTTAATTCATTTCTCTCTTATTCTCTCTCTCTCTCTCTCTGTAAACTAATTTTGATTATTCAAACTTATTCGAAATAATTCTTTAACGAACTTTATTTACGTGGGAAGCTTTTAAATTAAATTTTGAAATACGATAATCTGCATTTATTTGTAATTAGTAGATTCTTTTGTATTCGAAGATAAATCATTTCTCATTGACATTAGTTTACGTTAAGATTTTGATCCTTCCGTTGATAAAAACTTTAATGTCTTTAATAAAAAAAAAAAAATTTGAAATTAAAAATTTAATCTATTAGAAAGAAAGAAAACAAACAAATTTTCATCTAAATTATTTTTCCGACAATTTTTTGATAATTAACACAAGTACATATGCGTATAAGTTCAAAAGATTTATTTGAAAAAATGAAAATTTCACGTACATCATTTTTCGTTTACACTATTATTATTATTATTATTATTATTATTATTATTATTATTAGAATTTTTATTATTAAATAAAACAAATAGAAAGAGAGAGAGAGAGAGAAAGCTTTATACTCGTATTATAATATCGATCAGATAATAGTATATCTGCCGCTTCGATTATTTTATAATAATAGTTTCACGAATATCTAAAATTATGATTGCATTTCGGCTTTTAACGCATATGTGATCCATTTATAGTTACTTTGGTCTAACATTTAATTATTATATATGTATTTTATTTAACTTAACGATGAGAATTAAGTATAAAAGCTTCTCAAGGACATTTACTATATTTGTTACATTTTCTAACAATAGATTTAACAATATTAATTTTCATAATTTTGGTCATATGTAGGCATTGTATTATATTATTTGATCAAGTCAATATAAAATAAATTCAAATACAATATAAATGTATATTATTAATCATTGTACAATTTCAATGAATAGTTAAAAATCGAAATCACGTAAACCTTGGAGAAACAAATAGAAAAAAAAAAATAGAAAATATATCGCGTATGAGAGAGAGAGAGAGAGAGAGAGAGAGAGAGAGAGAGAGAGAGAGAGAGATGAACGAAAAATGAAATTGCGAAGCGTCTTTGAATTATCTCGACGTGCCAACGGTATTTCACAGATCGACGAACCTAATTGGATTTATGTCTTATCAATGCAGGACGAATTGAAAATCAATTCAATCAATTCTAGAGAGATAGAAAGAGAGAGAGAGAGAGAGAGAGAGAGAGAGATACTAACAAGAACCACGAGAAATAATATTCAAGACGAATCGAAAATATCCTTTGCATTTAGGGATATATCTTTTATAATAGAAAATAATTTTGATATAACAAATAATGTATATCTTCTTCTTAATATATATAAATTACGTGTCACGTTGTTTGTCCGCAATGGACTCCTAAACTACTGAACTGATTTTAATCAAATTTTCCACACTGTGTGCAGTTTCATCTAACTTGAAAGATAGGATAGTTTATATCTCAATTTATAATCGAAATATTAGGTAATTCGTTGACTTAAAGACGTGTGTATCGGACTGATTGTGAGTCACAGCAACGCGTGGCGGGGGCACCCCTAGTTATATTATAATTCCAGTAAAATATATTTTTTGGTGTATCTTTATCATATAAATGATAAGAAATAAATATATTTGATTGTTATGCTTTTCTTTAAATTATAATTATTTATCGAATCATTTTCATGTATTATAACAATTATTAGCAATCAGAAACGAACAAATAGAATTTGATTAATCAATTATTTAAAATTTCGTTACTTTAAAAAAAAAAACAAACAAAAAAAAACAAACAGATGATTTTTGTTTATAAACGGTATTACTTCGAACGAAGTAAAGAAGAGAAATGTCAAGAGATAAATTGGGATTCGTTGTTGGCTTATAAAAGATAAAAAGGGTAGACAGATTCAGATACAGCACGAACGAGAGGGTGATATGTTAACAGTGAAAATCTGTAGAGGAAAGAGTTTTGCAAATTCCGTTCACGTTTCGCCATTCCGCACGCGTTATTACCAATGTTATTTGTTAACATCTTATAAGTTCACTATCCCTCTGACTTTTTTTCGATAATGTGACTGAAGTGTCTTCGAGATAAGAGCAATAATGGTGTCTAGGTGACTGTCGATATCATTTCCCAAATTTTCTTATGTCCTCGGTGATTTATAATAAATAAGATAACACTATAAAAAAAGAAAGAAAGAAAAAAAAAGAAAACTAGAAG